TTATCATGGGAATTCATGGGATGCACCTACATACCTTACATGGTTTTACAGTTTTACCCTGTTTTCTTCATGGTGATATAATGATGGTACTGGTATAGTGGGATTGACTGGGGATATTTGGAAGATCATCGCACTTCGTAAGCGATTCATAGCCCTGGTCCCCCATGGAGGTCCATACAGCTAGGAAAATCATCACAAAGAATGGGAGATTTCCAGCCAGCCTTGGAGCCGAGAACCGAAGGGTACACAAAAGATATCAAATATTGGGGACGGCAATATGAGTTTGTCTGAAAATAGGGTATATTCCCAATTATAGCCATTTAATAGGGATAATGATCATTAACCATTGGGTTTAGGGGTACACTATTTTCAGACACACCCATATTTATGTGGCGGACCAATTGAATGGATAAAGGTCCCATTGTATTCAAAGGATAATGTATTGAATTGGGGATAGATAACGAAGATTGGGGATCTTGACTCTTGACCACACATTGGGGATAAATGAAATAAAATATGTTGCATCGGGTTGAACCATATCAATATTCAAAATGTGCGGGATGAAAACCAAGATAAGATGGATGAATATGAAGATGGGAGATGAAAGGAGTGTAAATGGCGAACAACCGGCTGTGTCTAACACTTTGGGGATACGACGAGTGACCGGAAAACCCATCGAATCACCAAACAAATCACGGCCAAGGGACACCAAAATGCGGCTGCTACGTGGCATCTTTCCCAATGCTGCGTGAACGACCCGGCTGTGGTGGACAAGGCTTAGCGCTTCTCTGATCCAAAATGAGCCGACCGAACATGCAGCACCATTTTCTTGGTTGTGCAATTGTGCCAGGATCCATCAATCCCTATCCCACTGCTTGGGCATACTGATCACTCAACAAAGGATGCAATTTGGTGATTATTATTTTGAACTGGCCCATGCCCAACTCAACTTACCCACACATGCTGTCACAATGCCGTCGCGTCTTTCCCCGCTCACCCCAGCTGGTCTGACCCTGAATCAGAACCTCAGGGCAGACTGGAACTTGTGCCACGTGAGCTGTACCATTCTTGCCCCCTGCCTTCGTGCAGCTATGGCTGGACATTGAGGGGGCCCAAGGGAGGTAGTTGGTCCAGTGTCACCTTGAGTAGCTGAAGTCCTGACAAACCGTCTCGAAGCCCCCGTATCCGTTGGTTCCCTCATAACACGCACACTTACCAGAGCCGGAGCTGCCACTCCAATCCTCCAAACTGCCACCCACTTCGACTAGGCCTTCCGCTGTCACACAAGCTTCGCGACAGGTGGCCGCATCGGTGACTGGTGAAACACCACTTTTGTTGAAGCTGCTGCATTCAAGATACGTCCCCGTCGTCTCCTCATCGTCGCACCCGAGCAAAACCATCAAGCACGCAGCAGCCATGGTCATGACCATGCAACGGGACCGGCGCATGATGGACATGCCACGGGACCTCTCTCCTGAAAAGCCTCTAGTTTTAGCCAGCTGAGTTGCTGCACAGCTCTTTGCTCCTTGACACTCAAATGACCGAAAGCATAGTGATTTTTGGGAGCATTAGCAAGAGAAACCATAGCATGTTCAACAAGACATCTGGATTGTCTATGGTCTCTGCACATTGCCGTGTCTTAAAATGTCGAGAAAAATGCCCTTGCAAGCCTATGGGCAATGATTTGCTCCTTGACTGCAGTTGTCCAGAATTCCTGTGAGTTCTGGCCTGGCACGAAAAATCATAACATGTTTGAATTTGAGAAACTTAAAGCACAAAGTTTGTCTCTGCACATTGCCATATCTCCAAAGTTCGACTCTGCAAGCCCATTGGCAATTTTCACAACAGCATTCTTTTGCGGTTCTGCCGAATAACTTTTTTCCATCGCGACTAGGACCACTAGGAATCCAATAGGTGAAAAAATGGGCGGCCATTGAAACAGCCGCAAATCATATCACCATGGGGCATGCGGCACGAGTCTCGTGACGCGACCACGCCGCGGCCCCACCAAAACCACGCCGGGGGTCAGTTCACTTATCGCTGCTTCACCTGTCAAAACAGATTTGGGTAACATGGGTGCAGGTCACAAGTTGGGTGCCCTAACAAATGGGGAGGTCAAAAAGGGAATGATCAAAACTGCGTTTTTTTTCTGGGGTCTGGAATTTGGATGAACAGGTCATGGCAAGGATCAACGACTTACATCTGCGACACCTCTTCCCCCTTGCGACAAGCATCATGGACCATGGGTGTCACGGGTGTCATCATCCAACCCATGAGGTTATCAATAGTCATCCCATATCATCCCATCTCATCCCATATCTACAGATGGGCACACATATCCCTTGGTTTCACCCCAATTTAGACGTTGAAATCATCTAAACTCACATTGACGGCTAGATCGAATGTCTTCATGGTCACATCATTTCACATCCCTGTTTTTTGTGGTTGACAAACCATACGGAAATGAAACATTATAAAAATATATAAAAATTTGGGATCTGGACCATAAAAAATACCAAAAAAAATTAAGGATGGAAACACAAGATGAATAGGGATAAATACAGAGATGGGAGATGAAAGGAGTGCCTAAGGAGTGTAAATCGCGAACAACCGGCTGTGTCTTCGGGACTTTGGGACACTGCGGTCAAACCAAAAACCCATCGAATCACCAAACAAATCACGGCCAAGGGACACCAAAATGCGGCTGCTACGTGGCATCCCTCCCAATGCTGCGTGAACGACCCGGCTGTGGTGGACAAGGCTTAGCGCTTCTCTGATCCAAAATGAGCCGACCGAACATGCAGCACCATTTTCTTGGTTGTGCAATTTTGCCAGGATCCATCAATCCCTATCCCACTGCTTGGGCATACGAACTGAGAATGTTATTTCGTAATTCTTTGGACTTGGCCCATGCCCAACTCAACTTACCCACACATGCTGTCACAATATGTCACAAATCCGTCGCGTCTTTACCCGCTCACCGCAGCTGGTCTGACCCTGAATCACAACAAGAGGGCAGACTGGAACTTGTGCCACGTGAGCTGTACAATCAAAGTGGCTATGGCTCCACATGCAGGGGGCCCATGAGAAGCAATATAGTTGATGGTAGTTGGTTCTTTGGTGTGTTGAACTGTTGAACGTTCAAAAATGAAGCAGCCATAGCCTTGTGGATTCTGAACATCTGCGGACTCGAGACACTATCGCATCCGCATCACTGAGCGCCATTGTCATCGTGTGTAGTTGGAGTCCTTGCATATCGTCCGGTAGCCCCCGCTGGCCTGGATGCAAGAACACTCACCAGCACTGGCGCTGCCTTTGAAATCCTCCAACTGGCCACTCACTTCGGCTAGGCCTTCAGCTGTCACACAAGCTTCGCGACAGGTGGTCGCGTCGGTGACTGGTGAAACACCATTCTTGCTGAAGCTGCTGCATTCAGGATACGTTATCTCCTCATCGCCGCACCCGAGCAAAGCTGCCAAGCACGCAGCTGCCACAGCCATGACCATGCAACGGGACCAGCGCATAATGGACATGCCTCTTAAAACGCCTCTAGCTTTAGCCAGCTGAGCTGATGAGCTGCTATTGCGCAGCTCTTTGCTCCTTGAACTCAAATGACCGAAAGCTACAGGTGTGCATCCGGAATTCATGTGAGCGCTGACAAGAGAAGTCATAGCATGTTCGGGAAACATGAGACACAAACCTTCAAACTTCAACCCCATCAGGTTTGTCTCTGCACATTGCCATATCTCCAAAGTTCGACTCTGCAAGCCCATTGGCAATTTTCACAGCAGCTTTCTTTTGTTCTGCGGAATGATTCTATTCCATTGCGACTAGGACCACTAGGTCGCTAGGAATCTAATAGGTGAAAAAATGGGCGGCTATTGAAACAGCCGCAAATCATATCACCATGGGGCATGCGGCACGAGTCTCGTGACGCGACCACGCCGCGGCCCCACCAAAACCACGCCGGGGGTCAGTTCACTTATCGCTGCTTCACCTGTCAAAACAGATTTGGGTAACATGGGTGCAGGTCACAAGTTGGGTGCCCTAACAAATGGGGAGGTCAAAAAGGGAATGATCAAAACTGCGTTTTTTTTCTGGGGTCTGGAATTTGGATGAACAGGTCATGGCAAGGATCAACGACTTACATCTGCGACACCTCTTCCCCCTTGCGACAAGCATCATGGACCATGGGTGTCACGGGTGTCATCATCCAACCCATGAGGTTATCAATAGTCATCCCATATCATCCCATCTCATCCCATATCTACAGATGGGCACACATATCCCTTGGTTTCACCCCAATTTAGACGTTGAAATCATCTAAACTCACATTGACGGCTAGATCGAATGTCTTCATGGTCACATCATTTCACATCCCTGTTTTTTGTGGTTGACAAACCATACGGAAATGAAACATTATAAAAATATATAAAAATTTGGGATCTGGACCATAAAAAATACCAAAAAAAAATTAAGGATGGAAACACAAGATGAATAGGGATAAATACAGAGATGGGAGATGAAAGGAGTGCCTAAGGAGTGTAAATCGCGAACAACCGGCTGTGTCTTCGGGACTTTGGGACACTGCGGTCAAACCAAAAACCCATCGAATCACCAAACAAATCACGGCCAAGGGACACCAAAATGCGGCTGCTACGTGGCATCCCTCCCAATGCTGCGTGAACGACCCGGCTGTGGTGGACAAGGCTTAGCGCTTCTCTGATCCAAAATGAGCCGACCGAACATGCAGCACCATTTTCTTGGTTGTGCAATTTTGCCAGGATCCATCAATCCCTATCCCACTGCTTGGGCATACGAACTGAGAATGTTATTTCGTAATTCTTTGGACTTGGCCCATGCCCAACTCAACTTACCCACACATGCTGTCACAATATGTCACAAATCCGTCGCGTCTTTACCCGCTCACCGCAGCTGGTCTGACCCTGAATCACAACAAGAGGGCAGACTGGAACTTGTGCCACGTGAGCTGTACAATCAAAGTGGCTATGGCTCCACATGCAGGGGGCCCATGAGAAGCAATATAGTTGATGGTAGTTGGTTCTTTGGTGTGTTGAACTGTTGAACGTTCAAAAATGAAGCAGCCATAGCCTTGTGGATTCTGAACATCTGCGGACTCGAGACACTATCGCATCCGCATCACTGAGCGCCATTGTCATCGTGTGTAGTTGGAGTCCTTGCATATCGTCCGGTAGCCCCCGCTGGCCTGGATGCAAGAACACTCACCAGCACTGGCGCTGCCTTTGAAATCCTCCAACTGGCCACTCACTTCGGCTAGGCCTTCAGCTGTCACACAAGCTTCGCGACAGGTGGTCGCGTCGGTGACTGGTGAAACACCATTCTTGCTGAAGCTGCTGCATTCAGGATACGTTATCTCCTCATCGCCGCACCCGAGCAAAGCTGCCAAGCACGCAGCTGCCACAGCCATGACCATGCAACGGGACCAGCGCATAATGGACATGCCTCTTAAAACGCCTCTAGCTTTAGCCAGCTGAGCTGATGAGCTGCTATTGCGCAGCTCTTTGCTCCTTGAACTCAAATGACCGAAAGCTACAGGTGTGCATCCGGAATTCATGTGAGCGCTGACAAGAGAAGTCATAGCATGTTCGGGAAACATGAGACACAAACCTTCAAACTTCAACCCCATCAGGTTTGTCTCTGCACATTGCCATATCTCCAAAGTTCGACTCTGCAAGCCCATTGGCAATTTTCACAGCAGCTTTCTTTTGTTCTGCGGAATGATTCTATTCCATTGCGACTAGGACCACTAGGTCGCTAGGAATCTAATAGGTGAAAAAATGGGCGGCTATTGAAACAGCCGCAAATCATATCACCATGGGGCATGCGGCACGAGTCTCGTGACGCGACCACGCCGCGGCCCCACCAAAACCACGCCGGGGGTCAGTTCACTTATCGCTGCTTCACCTGTCAAAACAGATTTGGGTAACATGGGTGCAGGTCACAAGTTGGGTGCCCTAACAAATGGGGAGGTCAAAAAGGGAATGATCAAAACTGCGTTTTTTTTCTGGGGTCTGGAATTTGGATGAACAGGTCATGGCAAGGATCAACGACTTACATCTGCGACACCTCTTCCCCCTTGCGACAAGCATCATGGACCATGGGTGTCACGGGTGTCATCATCCAACCCATGAGGTTATCAATAGTCATCCCATATCATCCCATCTCATCCCATATCTACAGATGGGCACACATATCCCTTGGTTTCACCCCAATTTAGACGTTGAAATCATCTAAACTCACATTGACGGCTAGATCAAATGTCTTCATGGTCACATCATGTCACATCCCTGTTTTTTGTGGTTGACAAACCATACGGAAATGAAACATTATAAACATGAGGTCTGGACCAACAAAAAATAATGTTGTATACCGATTTGTGTCCTGGGACTCTATTGGGACAAAATATCAAAAATATTGTGACAAAAAGTATCTTGTGAATGGGGGGGTGGGCCTCTATTGTGAGAAGTTAAAATTCTCAGATCCATTTTTTGAACCGGAGCTTTATCCACCTCTATACACCTTTCTTTGGGTAAAGCTGGTCCATTTACGTTAGAACGCCATATCCATGTTAAAGCCTTGAAAATGCAAGGTTTCCCAAATAATTAGATTCCTTATTAAACCCTTATTAAAAAACAGCACCCAAACAATTTTTCAAGGGGTACCCCACGAGTGACCCAGATCCTCAATAATGTAATTGTTTCGATGGTACCCTATTGTGCACAAAAATCTTTTGGAGCATTTTTTTTGGATTTATGTAAAAGGAAAATCAATTGAAAGTAGATTGATGATGTCAATTGAAATCCTTACTTAAGTTGACTATCCTAAAAATTGTTGAGGCGGGGGGCAGAAAATGCCGAGTTATTGAGTAGGCTAAAATTGTTGAGGGGGGCCACACTAATCAGTATCCAACATTACCAAAAAATTAAGGATGGAAACACAAGATGAATAGGGATAAATACAGAGATGGGAGATGAAAGGAGTGCCTAAGGAGTGTAAATCGCGAACAACCGGCTGTGTCTTCGGGACTTTGGGACACTGCGGTCAAACCAAAAACCCATCGAATCACCAAACAAATCACGGCCAAGGGACACCAAAATGCGGCTGCTACGTGGCATCCCTCCCAATGCTGCGTGAACGACCCGGCTGTGGTGGACAAGGCTTAGCGCTTCTCTGGTCCAAAATGAGCCGACCGAACATGCAGCACCATTTTCCTGGTTGTGCAATTTTGCCAGGATCCATCAATCCCTATCCCACTGCTTGGGCATACGAACTGAGAATGTTATTTCGTAATTCTTTGGACTTGGCCCATGCCCAACTCAACTTACCCACACATGCTGTCACAATATGTCACAAATCCGTCGCGTCTTTACCCGCTCACCGCAGCTGGTCTGACCCTGAATCACAACAAGAGGGCAGACTGGAACTTGTGCCACGTGAGCTGTACAATCAAAGTGGCTATGGCTCCACATGCAGGGGGCCCATGAGAAGCAATATAGTTGATGGTAGTTGGTTATTTGGTGTGTTGAACTGTTGAACGTTCAAAAATGAATCAGCCATAGCCTTGTGGATTCTGAACATCTGCGGACTCGAGACATTATCGCATCCGCGTCACTGAGCGCCATTGTCATCGTGTGTAGCTGGAGTCCTTGCATATTGTCCGGTGACCCCCGCTGGCCTGGATGCAAGAACACTCACCAGCACCGGAGCTGCCTTTGAAATCCTCCAACTGGCCACTCACTTCGGCTAGGCCTTCAGCTGTCACACAAGCTTCGCGACAGGTGGTCGCGTCGGTGACTGGTGAAACACCATTCTTGCTGAAGCTGCTGCATTCAGGATACGTTATCTCCTCATCGCCGCACCCGAGCAAAGCCGCCAAGCACGCAGCTGCCACAGCCATGACCATGCAACGGGACCAGCGCATAATGGACATGCCTCTTAAACCGCCTCTAGCTTTAGCCAGCTGAGCTGCTATTGCGCAGCTCTTTGCTCCTTGAACTCAAATGACCGAAAGCTACAGGTGTGCATCCGGAATTCATGTGAGCGCTGACAAGAAAAGTCATAGCATGTTCGGGAAACATGAGACACAAACCTTCAAACTTCAACCCCATCAGGTTTGTCTCTGCACATTGCCGTATCTCCAAATGTCCAAAGCTCAACTCTGCAAGCCCATTGGCAATTTTCACAGCAGCTTTCTTTTGCGGTTCTGCGGAATGATTCTATTCCATTGCGACTAGGACCACTAGGAATCTAATAGGTGAAAAAATGGGCGGCTATTGAAACAGCCGCAAATCATATCACCATGGGGCATGCGGCACGAGTTTCGTGACGCGACCACGCCGCGGCCCCACCAAAACCACGCCGGGGGTCAGTTCACTTATCGCTGCTTCACCTGTCAAAACAGATTTGGGTAACATGGGTGCAGGTCACAAGTTGGGTGCCCTAACAAATGGAATGATCAAAAGGGGAATAACCAAAACTGTGTTTTTCTGGGGTCTGGAATTTGGATGACATATGGCAAGGATCAACGACTTACATCTGTGACACCTCTTCCCCCTTGCGAGAAGCATCATGTGCGTTCCCTTCATTGTCACCACTTTCAGGAGATTCAGGAGGATTGGGGCAGATGTTCATCCCCTGCTTTGATCACTTGTTTAGAGAACCCCGCTATCATCACAGCTCCCAAAATCAACCATTGGACCATGGGTGTCATCGGTGTCATCCAACCCATGAGGTTATCAATAGTCATCCCATATCATCCCATCTCATCCCATATCTACAGATGGGCACACATATCCCTTGGTTTCACCCCAATTTAGACGTTGAAATCATCTAAACTCACATTGACGGCTAGATCAAATGTCTTCATGGTCACATCATGTCACATCCCTGTTTTTTGTGGTTGACAAACCATACGGAAATGAAACATTATAAAAATGAGGTCTGGACCAACAAAAAATAATGTTGTATACCGATTTGTGTCCTGGGACTCTATTGTGACAAATAGTCATCCCATATCAGGATGGGCACACAAATATCCCAGTGCGGTAATCCATGACTTCAAATTCCATCGGGCATTGACTGCGCTGGGTGCGCTGCGCTGGGTGCGCTGGGTGCTCTGGGTACGGTGAGAGGGTGCGCTGAGTACGATGGGTGTGCTGAGTGCGCTGGGTACGCTGGGTATGGTGCGCTGGGTACAGTGCGTACAGTGCGCTGGGTGCGCTGGGTGCGTTGAGTGCAAAAGAAGCTGCAAGAGAAGATTCTCTTGGGGGGCGCAGGTGCAAGCAAACAGTCTGTTACGTCGCGTGCAGCATGGTTCTAGGGCAAAGGAAATTTGAACAGCCTGTAGCAAAGCATCAACTCTGTGTGAAGGAAGGTGCAGGTGAAGGGTAGCATCAAGTTTGCGTGCAAGTGGACCTGAATAGCCTGCAGTGTACCATCAAGAACGTGTGAAAGAGCAACTCAACATTCTCTATATTTACATGTGCAAGCGCAAGCGAACATTTTATAACGTAAACCCTGTGCAAGTGCAGGTGAACATTCTATAGTGTAGCACCACTGTTGTGTAGATGTGCTAGTGAACATTCTACAGCGTAGCATCAAGTTTGCCTCTGAGATCATGTCAAGTTATTTTCTGACCAATAATTTATTCTCATTTTTGAGAATCTAAAAATAATTTCTGAAAATAGCAAACAAGTGCACGATATGTTGTCCACTATTTTTTTGACAAAGTTTAAACAATGCGAACAAACATGATGCTTTGTGAACAGAGATGAAAGATAGAAAAGCAAAAAAAAACACATATGGAAGGATAAAAAGACCGAAAGATTCAACGACCTGACAGGTAGAAAAAACATAGGGATAGAACGATGGAAAAGAAACAGACAGCCGGGGAAATAGCAAGAACGTCAGCTAGATAAAAAGATGGGTAGATAAACAAATAGATAGAAAGAAAAATGAAAGGATATAAAGATAGGAAACTGCAAAAGTAAAACTATCGAAAAAAAAAAAATGTCAAAAGGCTAGATATGTCGATAAATAGTTAGATTAGAAAGACAGATGGAATAGATGGATGGATCGGTGGGTAGGTAGGTAGGTAGGTACGTAGGTAGGTAGGTAGGTAGGTAGATAGGTAGATAGACAGATAGACAGATAGACAGATAGACAGATAGACAGATAGACGGATAGATAGATAGATAGATAGATAGATAGATAGATAGATAGATAGATAGATAGATAGATAGATAGATAGATAGATAGATAGATAGATAGATAGATCGGAAAGTAAGAAGGTAGGATAGGTAAGATAGATAAGATAGATAAGATAGATAAGATAGATAAGATAGATAAGATAGATAAGATAGATAGGATAGGCTAGATAGATTAGATAAGTTAGAAGGGTTAGACAGGTTAGACAGGTTGAATAGATTGATGAGATTAGGTTAAATTGGATTAGGCCAGATTATATTGAATTAAAATAGGGTCAGGCTAGATTGGATTGGACTAGATTAAATTAGGTTGAACTAGAATTTGGATTTAGATTTAGCGTAGGATTGACAATTAGATTTAGGTAAGGAATTTGACGAACTCAGATTAAGATTTACATGTAGGTAAGGATTTAGATTTAGGTTACGGTTCAAAAACAAATTTGGATTCAGATGTATTTGAAGATTTTAAGATTAGAACAATTAGGCGGGTTTGGGTAGGATAGACAAAATAGACCAGGTAGATGAGATAGAACAGATAAATAGACAAGAAAGATGAGATAGATAAGATAGACAAGATAACCCAGATACACAAAATAGACTAGATTGGTGATGGATATGACAAACCAGATAGAAAAGAAAAGATAGATAAGATAGATCGCACAGAGAAGAAAGATAATGCAGAAAAGGTAGACCAGATAGGTGAGATAGGCATGATAGACAAGATAGACAAAATAGAAAAGAAAGAAAAAATAGATTATATAGGAAAGAAAGATAAGATGGACAAGATAGACCACATAGATGAGATAGGTAAGATAAACAAGAAAGATAGGAACAATAGAAAAGTTAGAAAAGTTAAAAAGTTAGTTTAAGACACATCATATAGAAAAAAAAAGATATATAGATAAGATAGCTCATATAGGTGTAAAATGAAAAAATAAGAACAATTAGATAAATAGATAGATCGATAGATAGATAGATAGACAGACATATATATATATATAGATAGATAGGTAGGTAGATAGATAAACAGAATGATAGAATTGAGAGATATAGATATACCTTGGTGGTCGAAAGCTGAATAATTTTTGGTCTGAACCAAAAACCTGTGAACGACCAAAAACCAGGGATATGGCCAATTTGAAGACAATTTGGGAATTTGTCACATTGTGACATGCTGCCTCTGCTCAAGCAAAACTGCCATGTGGAGGCAGGATTCCACCATATCTCGATGTTCCTTTAAAGCCAGTATGCAACTGGATTGACTTTGAACATGTATTATCCTACCATTAAGAGAAATGAATGAAATTCCATTTCTAGAGCCATTGAAATAGCAGGATCCCCACATCTGGGCATATAAGTTAAATGACCCAGTACCCTCCAGAAGTTCAGAAGCGCCGGATGCAGCAACTCGCTGTGGCTGCGGTGGCTCGGCAATGCCTCCAAGAGACCTCCAGGCGGGCAGCCCGCACCGTTGATGGTCGAGCAGGGACATATTTCCACATGTTTTTGTTTCTATCTCAAAGATCTTGAAGATTCAAACGGTTTGCTTTCAAAATTCCAACTGGCATACCTTTGAGCTGCTGTAAAATAAAATATCTTGTTTCCAGCTCAGAATCCTACCGAGAGTGATACCGGAATCATCCTTGGAGTCCAACAGACATTTTGATGGAAGAACTTTCGCCTGTACTTCTGAAGCATTGTTTTGCTAGCCCTTGCGTTGGGAACCACACCCTGCCACAGCAATGCCGTGGCGATCCTTTGCCGATGGCCCTGAGTGTGAAGATCCAAAGCTCATCGCTAGGCGATGGGATGATGTTGAGGAGATCCGTGACCGGGCTAAGGATAAACAAAAGTTAGTCCAACTTGTCAAGGACGAAGATGGGAATGAAGTGGCCTGGCCAACCCCTGAGAACATGTCCCTAAACAAGGCACTGCTTGAAGTCCTGGTGAAGGACATGCTGTCTCGCACCCGGGCGGGGGCCGATCCAATAGAAATCATCACAAAAATGGTGTCGGAGCACTACACGCTTCACCGAAATGATTTCCAAGAGTACTTCACTTTTCAGATCAAGGGTTGGATTGCCAATGATGCATGGGCGATCAGAAAGATGGTGAGCAAGTTGCGCAACAAGATCACCAAACATGATACCATGAGGGCTGCTTGGGCCCAAGTTTTAACAACTTTTGGTTTCCTATCTGCCCCCAAACATTCGAGGTCCGAAGGTTGCCTTCCCCCACTGATAACTTGGTTTCTATTCCCCATCAATTCTAATTACAAATCTGCGTGCCATAAACCATAGTTACCTAGGTTCTGCACCAACTTAGCTAAACGAGGGGGGGCACTCTTGTAAATTTTAGTGTTCATTCTCTTCTCTCAATTTCGGGCGCTCAGGATCCTGACCTTGCCCGCATCTTTGGCATGCTTCGGGAATCCTACAGGAAGAGAATGGAGGCCACCATTTAATTATAAAACGCACCAGTTCGTATCTTACTTCATACCTCCCTTTCTTTTGTTTACACAAAAGGTTTGGGCAGCTTATGGTTGAATGATGGGCCCCGTCCCCCTCACCACCCTTTCCCTTTAGGTGCTTGGGCTTGCTGTGCAGCCGATCCGTGATGGCCCAATCCCAGACCCAGCTGGTGGTGATGGGCCACCTGCTGCCAATCCAGATGATGCCGCTGCGGCAAATGTCGCTGAGCCTGCTGAGGCTGCTGAGCCTGCTCCTCATGACCCTCCTGCACCGGCTGGTGAAGCTGGCGAACCAGAAGTTGGTCTTGAAGATGCTTTGGTCAATGGGGGTGACCCTGCCATGCTGGCCAATGACCTGAACATTCCAGAGTTTTCCACTGAGGAGAGCCAGCTCTTGGAAGGCATGCTGTGGGGATACAGCTCTGACCCTCCATCTTGCACACTGTGGGGGGATTCAGTCCCGGCAGCCGGCGATGGAATTGAGTCTCCACCGCCGCCAATGCCCGAGGCTGTCGAGAATGGATCTTCATCTCCGGTTCCTTGCATCAGCCTGTTGGACGATAGCCCTGGGCTTTCTGCAGAGAAGGCTGCAATGCCATCCACCTACAGCCATGACATGAAGCGTGCGGAGTTCAATGACTACAAGAAGTTCCTTGCCTTGGCTAAGGAGAAGCTGGCTGACATGAAGCGCCGTGATTCGCACCTTGGGGCTGAAGTTTTTACTTCTTTACTTTTCAGCCCCCCTGGCCAATAATTGGTTTTTCCTCCGCAGATGATGGCTTCATGTCCAGGGGTAGCAGCACCAGCACGACTGCCTGTGACTCCTCAGCTGGATCCTCTACTGACAGAGTTGCCGAGCCCTTGACCGCAGCCTCGCTGGCATTGGACGTTGACAAGTCCAGTCAAGGACAGAATTGGCCAAAGTGTGCTAATTTTGAACATCCTTGGCCCTACAAGTAGTTGCTAGAGTAACGTCATCTGTTGTATAGTACACGCTGCCATTCATCACATCAGGAGATATTGGGCAAGCTGGACCAGCAGCTGCTGTGAAAAAGAACATGGACCAGATGGAAACGCAGCTGTTGCCTCAATCCTTGGATTTCACCAACATCCCGGATTCATTGCCCTTGGACCAGTATGATGTGCTGCCACCACTGCATCGGACCAGTGCTCCGCCTGATCGCAGTGCCGGGCCCGATACTGAGAAGGTTGCTGCCAAAATGGATCAGCAGGGCATGGTGATGGATGTTGAGAATGGGGATCGTGGAGAGCTGGCAGAGCCGGGTGTGGGGAAGGGTGACGCCACTCCACCTCACATGGTTTCAAGTCCGCTGGAAGCTGAGAAGGGTGACGAGGTCCCATGTGGTCAGGCGAACATTGCCGTGTCCCCTGAGAAGGAACCGGGGTTCAAACCTGGCAGGAAATCCAGAGCAAAGGCAAAGGCAAAAGCCTCTGCGACCAAGGCGAAAGCTTCTGCAAAGAGCCGGGGCATGAAGCGTCCAGCTTGCCGTGGCGACTTGGAAGCTGAGGGTGTGGGGGAGGGCGCCGTTCTTCCTGCACCTGAAAGCTTGCCAGATGCTGCTGCTCCTGATGGTCTCCCTGGTGGTGATCGCCGCCGAGCGCCGCGAGCACCAAAGGCCCAGAAGATTTCTGGCTTGAGCGATGAGTGCCGTGCGATGGATCGCACTGGCCAGGTGCCTCCCACCTTCGGTGGAAGGGCTCGGCCAGCTGGTGGATCGCATTGGGCGTTGGAGAAGTACATCCGGACAGCTTCTGCTTTCAAGAATTCCATCGAGGATACCTTGACCCCTGGCACTAAGCACAAAGCTCAGGCAGGGTGTGGTATCCAATTTTTTTGAAAATTTTGGCCAAGAGAATTCATGGGTGGCTGGTTGTGTCAACCTCTGGTGAAAGTAGCTGCCAGCTGATTTTCCAACAAGTATTGGACAACATGCCCTGCTTTGCAGATGACCTTCTGCAGCCTCATCCAGAAGCACAAGAAAGAGGGCAACCATCGTGATCCGTCGGATTTCTCTTACATCGATCATGCTGTTGCGGAGTTCAAGCAGCATCTTTCGATGCATCCAGTCCCCCACCCCCAAATTATTCCCGTTTACTTTACTAGTAGCACAACCTCTGGGTAGCAGTCTCTAACTTGTTTCCCCTTTATCGTGCCCATTGCGCCCGCGCCTGAGGCAACACGAAGCCCATGCTCTTGGCGAAGACGATCCGGACAAGGAGGAAAAGAATGCACCTGCGCTGGGTGGAGTCGATGTCAACTGACTTCATGGAAGCTAGCCCCTTTTGTCGGTGAGCCCTGTGTTGATGTGTCGTAGTATGGTAGTAATTTGCACTTGGGGCGCCAAAAAGCTGCATACCTGACGGATCCTACACAGCATAGCCTCGCCTCTAGTTTTGGAAAGACGGCGATAGAAAATCTGTGGCACATGCCACCTGTGTCCAAATTCCAGCATGGCCCGGACATAGATATGACCCTTAGTTCGACCGCTCTTGGTGATCAGTTTGCCGTGGCTTAAACATTGAAATATGAGATTTAAACGCTGTTCAACACAGGTTTGTTTAAGACAGGTTGTTTGTTTTGGTCGATGGGTCAAAGAAAGGGTCGTGTGCTGGTTTGGGACCTCTCTTAGAGTTGAGCGACGCAAGCAACGTGGGAAGGAAAATGGCATTAAACCTCAAATTGAAAAGAAATTCACCGGCTAGTAGTGGCCAAAAAAAACATATTCCATTGGTCTCCCATCTTCCGCAGGTCAGACTGCGGGGCAACATCCGGGAAGCCAAGCGTGGCCTCTTCAACAATTTTGCACCGCAAGCCAAACGCAGCCACCACTGGCCTGTTTGCAGATTTGCGCTGACTGGCTGGGACACCCCAGGGAAAGTTTGCCAGGGAAAGTTTGTCAGGGATAGTGCAGCCCATTCATCATGTCATAGTTATACTATGTTCATATCTTTTGAATTTTTCAAGTGGACAAGATAACATGAGAATTATGACGCAATTTACTGAAGCCATTTCACATCTCAGAAAACCAAACCGTGCGACTTAATCCCATCAGATTCGTTGTTGGGTTATTGGCCCCATGGCCCGATTATCAGAGACTGCAGTGCTGCAGCGACTGCGGGCTCTCAAAGCGCCAAAGGCGCCTAGTTCTGCAATTGATACCAATCATTTAGTTGAGCAAGATTCACCCAGTACCATATATTTGGCTCCAAACTGCTCTCTTACTGTTACTAACAATTGTATAGGACGTTTGTCGGCCAATGATTGAGGTGCTGGCCTTCGCATGCTCGCTCCTACTGTGGAATCCGGGGGTGGACCTTCAACAGGCTGGGGGATGGGATTCTTAAGAAACCAAAATCAAGATCAAAATATATGAAATATTGTTGGTCCTAAAGGTTCCCGAAACTAACCTTCAAAAACATGCATTCACCTTGTCAGGGGGCCATTTTTGTCGAGTCCTTTGCGGGGCAAGGGGAAGCTTCAAAAGCAGTCAAATCACTTTTCTCGCAGCACGATGTTTCAGCCCTGGACCTCAAATATTCCAAGTCTATGGATATCAATTCATGTTCTGGCTTTGGGATTCTTGGCTGGCAGATGACGTTTTGTTTTTGGGGAGGTCCCGTCAATAGATCCCATATGATATACTATGTGGGACAATAAATGTTCACCAGCAAAAACAACTAACTATAGGAGTAGCTTATGCAGCTGAACCCTTATCTTAATTTACCCATGTGTCTATATACTGAAATATGGGTATGTATTTTTTGGGGTGGTTCAAAGCTTTAAACGGCACAGAAGTAGAGGCACCTCGAATCATACCCCCGAATCATACCCCGAGTCATACCCCCGCATCAAATCCCCCAGTTAAAGGATTTTTCTTAGTAAGTACAATATATATATATGTAATATATATATATAATATATATATATATATGTATATATGTATATATATATAATAAACAATATATATATGTATGATTATTATTATGTTATATATATATAAATACATATTTGGGTGCTGGGTGGTCCTGCAGGGTGCTGCTGGCGGGGTGTGGGGTGCGTGCGCTGCAATCCACGCTCTGTCCCATGTGGGGCAGGACGCGTGCGATGCATGCCACGTCCCACGCCCCTGGGTGCTGCTTGCTGGGTGCTGCTGGGTGCTGCTGGGTGGTGCTGGATGCTGCTGGATGCTGCTGGGTGCTGTTGGGTGCTGGCTAGGGTGTGGGGTGCGTGCGCTGCAATCCACGCTCTGTCCCAATCTGGGGCAGGACGCGTGCGATGCATGCCACGTCCCATTCCCCTGGGTGCTGCTGGCTGGGTGCTGGGTGCTGTTGGGTGCTGCTGGCTAGGGTGTGAGGTGCGTGCGCTGCAATCCACGCTCTGTCCCATGTGGGGCAGGACGCGTGCGATGCATGCCACGTCCCATGCCCTGGGTGCTGGGTGCTGCTGGGTGCAGCTGCTGGGTGGTGCTGGGTGCTGCGGGTGGTGCTGGGTGCTGCTGGCTGGGGGCAAGACTGCTGGCTGGGTGCTGGGTGCTGCTGGTGCTGCTGGGACCACTGCGATTTAGAGGTTGCAGTTGAGGAGGCAGAGCTGACATAAAATCTAACAACCCTCACCTGACATTGGTGATTTTTTCTGTGGTTTGTCCCACATATCCTCCGAATCATACCCCCGAATCATACTCCCGAATCATACACTACTACTTCCGGGTTTGGGCGCTTCAAAAAAATACAAGCCCACATTTTGCATGTTAACATGATGTTATACCCTATTCTTTTCACATGCATGTGTATCAATCCATTCGCCTAAGGGCCACTTTGGCGGCTGTGTTGCGTGGACGCCCGGATGGCTGGGTCCATTGGATGGGGGTGAAATGTTCTACATGGGTGACCACTTCTAGGGGCTCTACAGGACGTAGCCCATGCAACCCACATGGGCTGGAGGATGAAGTGTCTTGCGTGGCTGATGCCAACCTGCAAGTGGCAAGGACTGCCCACTGTTATCCCAAATAGATTCTTTTTTGAAAATCACCTGAACATACATTACTATATTTGGGAGCCCTTGGCCATAGTTTTCCACCACCAAAGCAACAACATATATTGAACCTTGTCTTCATTCTGTAACGGATTCCTTTCAGATTGGTCAATGCCCCAATCCCTGCAGGGTGGCTCTTTTGGCATTGGCAACGGTGGCATTCCATGGCACTTTTATCATTGAACAGCCACGGTCTTCCTTGCTCATTTTGCATGACAGAATGCAAAGGGTCGTCGAACAAATACAGGCTGGGGTTGTATTTGGATGTTTTGAAGGCAATACATCCCACCAAACACATCCCATATAATTACCTGGCTCCAACAAAGGGATAGACTGGTTATGATACTGCTACTATAGTGGGCCCAAATGGTCAGACCTGGGATATCCCCCATTTAGGTGTATCGATCAACGTTTTGGATGTGGCACTTCGGAAGTGGTTCACCTAAGAGAACAATCTTATGGTCAAGTTCGCGCTCTATTGGGTTGTTTTGGACCCGCCGCTTGTGCAAAAAACGTGTGAAGGAAACCAAGGCCAAACGGGAGCACAACCCACAGCCTTGCATCCAATACCATGATGCTGAAGGCCGTTCTCGTTTCCATGGAACCTCAGACTTGTCAGCAACTGAGACCCACCCTCAGTTGTTGAGGAAACACAGACCAGGGTATGATTGGGCGGGGGGTTTCTAGCTTTCCCATTTTAAAACATGTAAAAAAACATATTCAGCCATCGATATTTTTTTGGGATTAGCCCCTAGACATCTGTTGTATACCCTTCTTTGAGGCACTACACCCCCGAATTCGGCAACAAGATTGCTCTGATCCTGGAGTATCTGCTACCTCAATGTGATTACGTTACCCACGATCCCTCAATCGACCCAATTCAATTTTGGCAGAGCTGGGAATGGGAAGAAGATTGCTGGGATGATGCGCAGCTGCGCTCCTTTGTAAAATATCTATATGGGGCCAAGCGCCTCCAAATCCCAGGTCCCTGGAGGAAGGTTCTTCCTCGGGTCATCTAAGGCCCTTTGACTGGATGCGACCATGCTTCTGTGGGGGCTGGAAAGCAAAAGAGTGTATATAGGTTCTGACTGTAGACATGATTGTGGGAACACATTTTCCAAAAACATAATCTAATCGAAGCGCAATCATATCCCCATAATTCGGGCACTTACCCAGAAAGATTACCGTGAAGCAGCATTGGTAATAGGCTTCGGCAGTTCACACCCCATTCAGTACTATTGACCAATGGTTTTTACTTCATATTCAATCATTTTGATCAATTTTGGGGATTTGGGAAACACAACGACCAAAAATACAACGCGAACGATGAAAAACAAGACGCGCAAGACCAGTTTTCAGACGCGAACGACGAAAAATCAAGAAAGATTGAAAATTGCGCGCCCAAAAACACAACGCAGAAAAGACGCTAAACAGACGCGAAAGACCAACTTTTCTGCACCAAAACCGTGTCATCTGCAGGCTTTTTTCCAAGCTGATTTGGTTACTGTTTTTGGGAAGGAACATGCAAGAGATTCACCACCATGATGGCTGTAGCATTTGCTTATGTTCAAAGTCGTCCCATAAAGATTGGTAACTTGTTGGCCCCCCCATGGACCTTCAGAGTCGTATGTGGAGTTGCGCTTCGATGGAAAGCTTTAGCCGCCATGAATTTGCCAGACTCTAAAGACGAGCTGGAGAAGTGTATCAAGGAGACATTCTCCGCTTCTTCAACTTCCAAAAACTGCAAATGGGACATGATTTCTACTTAATTACACTGACATCAACGAACGATTTTGGGGGATGCCCACTTTTTTGTGTATTGCTGTTTCCCTGGTAGGAAATGTCTTCGAAGATCGAATTGGCTGAAGCCAAGGCAACAGCCATCGCTGAAGCTGAAACCCAGCCAGGTGATTTGCACGCTGACCCCATGGATACCCATATTAAGATGGAAATCGACCAAGATCCATACCAGTTGGATGACAAGGACCCATACCAGTTGGATGGTGAATTTGACGACCCTCCCCTCGATCAGCATGATGTCTTATTTAACTTACCATTGTTTATGATTTCGTGGTGCGGTACAATTTTCCAACGACAATCCCCCAAATCCGTGAATGAGTATAAGGTGGGCTCCCCCTAAAGAAGGATAACTTTTTTATGCCATAGGTTGATTCTATGGTTTATAGAAAGATTTAGATATATAGCTATGTATAGAAGTTATATATAGTGG